GTTGTAATAAATATATAATATATATGGATGTAAATCCTCAGCCCTATGTTTCATAACATTGGATTATAGCAATTTTAAGAAAATTCATTAAAAAATGCATTCTATATATTTTAGTAATGGTATAATTTGGTCATTTGACTATTGTTTTATTAAAATTATTTAACCAATAAATTATTCATATAAATATTGATATTAATTATCAAGGTTCACATAAATGTTATGTTTTAGTGACTTTATTATATATTTAAATAATATTTTAAACATATTATCATTATATTTATTATTATAATACTTGTTAATTATTTCAGTTTTATATACAATATTTTTGGAAAAATTTAAGAATATTGAATTATATTTTCAATGAGGGTATTAGAATATATATGTAATCTATGCAATACATATTTATTTAATCTTAATACAAGGATATTTTGATAGCACACTATTTCTTCCAATATTATGAATTTTAATTATTATATTGATATTAAATTATATATTCTAAACATTGTATAGTACTAGCTGTCTTTAGATAGTTTTTTCTGGGATAATTTTTTAAGAAAGAGGTAATGCTTCAAAGCAAACATTCAAAACAGCATATTAATATAAAGGAACATGAAACACTTGATATATTTTTATTTAAATACACCTAAATCAAGCTGTCATGCTTTTATATCTTAGCACTGAGAAACAAGCTTGTTTGCTCTCTAAATTCTTTAGCGGAAAACATTATTGATGCCATAATTTACTGTTTCACCAGGAACTGCTAGACAACACAGCCTCTTTTAGTAGCTAATAGTGATGACTGGTCACCTATTTTCTCTTCAAATGTGCTTTTTCCAGAACAACCCACCATGTTAGAAATATACACTTCTGTTTCATATTCATTATGCTACATACCAAAAGGTCAAACCATAGCTGATCATGTGCTTGGCGTTTAGTTAATGCTATGATACACAAAGACCTTGTGGGGAGAAGGGGGAAGACCAGATTCATTTTCCAAGGCAAAACACAGTGTTGAATATGAAAAAAATTATAGACTGAAAGGCCACCTGACACACGCAGGTTTCTCTAATCCTGTTACCTTTTCATTTGGAAGAATGGCCGAACACAAAGGGAAATGCTACATTCCTGAAAGCTGTCCCTGCATCTGGAAAGACTGGGAATATGTCTCGGGGGAAGTCATCTCCACACCGTGTTACACCTGGTAAGAACAGTCATTTATTCCACGGACGTTTCCTTCAGCAAATGTATTCATTGCAACTGTTTGACTGACATGACTGGACATGTTTGATTAGCAAAAGGGAATTATAATCAACCTTGCGCTTATTAGAGCTGGAGGCCATTGGGAGTTGAGTAGCTAATTTCTACGAGGGGACCATGGCATTTTCAATGCATGTTTGTTTGCCTAGAAGCATGAAATATCACAATTTGGCAACAATAGGAGAAACATCCCAAACTTATAAGAAAACGCTGAGTGTTACAAAGAGAAGGCCTTATTTAGTAGCAGTTTTCCTCTTTGGAAGTCAGTGAGCACAGTGTCACAAAAAATTATTTTTTGCTAAAATTTCCTTAAAATATATTCAAGTATTCTAAAATTTCGATTGTAGAATCTTGAATATAAAAATTTCATTCTGTTGTCTATTTTCCGTGTGCCCCAGACTTAGTTTTGGTGTCTGATACTATAAATGTACATGACAAACTTGTCACTGTAATAGGCATTATCAGAAGGAATTGGCAATATTTATAAGGATTATGGACTCCAAATGCTTCTGAGAACAAATGTTTAGGCAACTTGAAAATTGCCAGTGCTGCAGAGCACTGGCTGCTCTTTCAGAGGGCCCTGGTTTGATTTCCCAGTTCCGGGGATCCAACACTCCCTTCTAGCATTCACAGGCACTAGGCACACACATAGTGAACAGAAATACATACAGGCAAAGCACCCATACACATAAAATACAAATACTAATTTGAACCTAATTTCTCCGTAAGATAACTCTTGTTATTTTTTTTAATAGTGTTTGTCGACGGGGGATGTTCAATTGCACATATTATCCATGTCCTGCTGTATGCACAGTCTATGGGGACCGGCATTATTATTCCTTTGATGGGTTGGAATATGACTACATCAGTGATTGCCAGGTTTTTTTGATAAAGGTTAGTCATAACTACTTTTTGCTTGAACTTGCATAAAGACAGTGTGAAGAACAGCATGTTGTTCATGGCATATCACATTAGTTTTTTACCACTAATAAAACTTATGAAAGCTGCAGTCATTTTCAACTAATTTCTTCAGCTTTAAACTCATCTTAAGTTTTCGCCGGGAGGTGGTGGCCACGCCTTTAATCCCAGCACTCGGGAGGCAGAGCCAGGCGGATCTCTGTGAGTTCAAGGCCAGCCTGAGCGCAAAGCTACATAGAGAAACTCTGTCTCGAAAAACAAAAACAAAAACAAAAAACAAAACAAAACAAAACTCATCTTAAGTTTTCGTGTTCATACGGGATAGACTAATTCTTCAGCCCCATGCCTTTTGCTTTGTCTGTAAAATGAAGATAATGATTATACCTAGCTCCATGGATAGAAAGGGCATGATTACACAGTAATTGCTCATTAATGATAAATTATTTTTATTATTGCTAGCTTGGTGTGATGAATATACATATAACACATTAAACCATATATCTTATTTTTATGAACATATAAACCAAAAGAGATTATTTTTGGTTCTAGAAATGATATATTGATGGTATCTTTTGGCAAATTCCTGGATTTGTATATCTGAGAAAGTCTTAAAATTTCTCATATGTCTAAAGTGTATAGATAGATAACCTACATGCATATTTTTTTAGCCAACGCCAATCTCAGAATTAAATTTCTAAGTGAAAAACTGGTCTTTCTAGTGGAGTCACAGAAGAACAGTGGAATGAACACCATCTACCAGCAAATAAATATGTGATTAATGTATTTTTCTGGGCATAGCTTTTATGCCACGTTATGCTTATGTGTGATTCTGCCCAATGAGCCTTTCTCTAAAAAGTAGAGTAATAAGGTCTATTTCGAACAGTTCTACAACATAAAAATAGAGAAACTTTAATGAGGCTTTTGCTTATATATTAAAGAACTGACGTTTCCTATAAGCCCTTGTTTCACAAGTCCCATAATGAGCATCATTGAATTACCATTCATAAAAGGGGCTGCCCTTTCTGAATGATTTTAAGTTTCTTATAGAAAAATGGTAATGGATTTGGTATTATATAATTATGACACCTATAAAGTATATTTCTACTTCTTAATTAATTTTTTTTATTTTTTAAATTTCATATATGAGTACTGCATTTACATAATTTCCACCTTGCCCTCTCCCCTCAAACTCCTCTTATGTCCCTCCCAACTCTTTCTTAAATTTACTACCTTTTATTTAATTAGTTTTTATGCACACACACATATAAATACAGCTTGCTGAGTTCATTTAATGTTACTTATATTCCTGTGTATTTAGGGCTGACTCATTGCAACTGGATAATGTGTCAGGGGACTCCTCCCTAGATAAGACTTCATCTCCCTGTAGAACTTTATCTATGAAGAGAACCTACTGAGATTCACACCATCCACAGTGCACTTCAACTAGTTTTGTCGTTATTCAGGTTTTCTTTTTTTTCTTTTTTCTTTTTCTTTTCTTTCTTTCTTCCTTTTTTTTTGAGACAGGGTTTCTCTGTGTAGCTTGGCTGCCTGTCCTGGAACTCACTTTGTAGACCAGGCTGGCCTCAGACTCACAGAGATCTGCCTGGCTCTGCCTCCCGAGTGCTGGGATTAAAGGCATGTGCCACCACCGCCCGGTTTACAAACAGAACTTTTGAGAGTTCATGTGGGCAGTTTTTCTGTCATATACAGAAGACACTAGTTCACAGCAGATGTCTTGGTCCTCTGGCTTTTACAGTACAATCTTTCTACTCCCTCTTCTGCGATGACTTCTGACCTTTAGGTATGGGGGTTGTGTTGTAGATCTATTGATCGGGATTGGACAACCCACGGTCAGTTGTTCTCTGTAGTTTGATCACTTAGGGCTTTCTGTAATGATCTCTGTCTACTGAAAACAAAGTTTTTTTGATGAGGAATGGGAGCTACATGTATCTGTGGGTATAAGAATACATATTCAACATGGAGCTAGAAATTTTAATTTTTTTAATAGAGTGGCAGCAATGTGTTCTCCTCTAGATTTTGTGGCCTCACTAGCCACTTGTAGTTGGCAAGTTTTACAGGACCAGGAATGAATTCCCTCCTATTTAGTGTGCTTTGAGTCCAATTTACATACTTTCTACCACCAAGCTGTTGGTTACCTCTGATAGGTAAGAGCCATTATTGTACCCTTGGGATATCTTACTTATAGTGGTCATTGTTGTTTATAGGCTTTATACTTGGGTAGAACTATTGGTTGCTTTTCTTCCTTTGCAACTTGCCTACCATCTCTGGATACTAAGTGTGCTGGCTAATTTTATGTCAATTTGACAGGAGCTATGGTCATCCGAGAGGAGAGGGCTTCAATTGACAAAATACCTTCATAAGATTGGGCTTTAGCCAAGACCATAGGGCATTTTCTTAATTATTAGTTGGTGAATTAGGGCCCAGACAATTACAGGTGGTGCCAACCCTGGGCTGGTGGTCCTGAGTTCTAGAAGAAAGCAGGCTAAGCAAACCATAATGAGCAAGCCAATAAGTAGCACTCCTCCATGGCTTCTGCATCAGCTACTGCCTCCATTTTCCTACCCTGTTTGAGTTCCTGTCCTGACGTCCTTCAGTGATGAACAGTGATGTGGAAGCTTAAGCCAAACAAACCTTTTCCTTCCCAGGTTATTTTTGGTCATGGTGTTTCATCACAGCATAGCAAACCTAGGACACTATGAGAGCTAGTCTTCAGGAAGAAGGAAGAAGGTTGCTAGATCAGTTCCGGCTCAGTTCTTCAAATCCTGTGTCTGAAGTGTGTAGTGTCTCCAGCAATAGGGTCTTATCTTCAAGGACTGGGAAACAGACAAGGGCCACATCAATCATCTTTATTGTTTTGCGAGTCTTGTGATCTCCTGAGCAGCAACTCATTTCAAGCATCCATTGTGTTGCTTATCTCTCCTTCTTCCCTCACTGTCTGCATTGGTCTCCCTCTTCCCAGCTTTCCCGTTCCTCTTCATAGCACCAGTGTCCAGCTACTCCATGTCTTCAGCTCCTGCTTTCCCAACCACCATGTTCTGTTTTTTACTGAACTCCACAGTTACTCCAGGTTATATACTTATACACATTAATATTCAGAACTAGGATTCCCATATAAGCGAGAATATGTGGCATTTGTCTTTCTAGGATAGGGTTGACTCATTCAATATAATGAGTTTTCTAGTTACATCCATTTACCTTCAAATTTTATGATTTTAATTTATTACAGCTGAATAGCAAAGCTATGTATAGTTGCTACACTTTCATTATTCATTCATCAGTTCAAGGGCATTTAGATTGTTTTTATTCCCTAACTACTGTAAATAGAACAGCAGTGAACATGACTGAGCAGGTATCCCTAGAGTAAGGTATTTAGCCCTTTGAATACATGCCAGGGAGTGATATATCTGGATCATATAGTAGATCTATGCTTAACATTTTGAGCACTCTATACAGTGAATTCCAGAGTTGCTGCACCAGTTTGCAATCCCACCAACTGTGTTTCCCCTTGCCCCATATTCTCTCCCGCATCGGCCATTAGTTGTTTTCTTAATCTTAACCATTCTTTTTGGGGTGAGATGAAATCTCAAAATAATTTTAATTTTTCAGTTCCCCAATTACTAAGGGTGTTGAACACTTTTTGAAATATTTCTTAGTTATTTTTTATTTCTTCTTTTAGAACTCTTTGTTGAGATCTGTGCTCATTTTAAT